CAATATATATTATTTTCAAGGCCACATGTAAATTAACTCCACAGTATTTGTCAAAGCCACCCAACTAATAAATTGTAAAGGTGTGTTTTGAACCCAGGCAACTGGGCTATACAGTCTGTGGGCATAATGTCCCAGATCATATATTTTAAATTCTTAATTTATAGTGTCACTCCTGATCAGTATTTATAACCCATAGTAATGAACAGAACTCTTTGAAGCTTGCTTTATCATAATTGTTGAAATACTATTACAATATGTGAAATAATCCTCCATAATCATGCATGTTATACTTGCTGGAGTAGATGATAGCACATATCTTCATGAAAGTACTCTTTATGATAGGTTCTTAAAAATGCAGTCAATTATAAGTACAATTCTCTAATTCACAAGTGCAGCAGAAGGAGATCAGGTAACAAACACTGCAGTGATGTATGTGTGAATGGACATGGACATGTGTGTAGTTTAGAGACCCACCTCGGGAGGCAGAGTTATAAACTTCAGCATATCAGTGTGTAAGCATGACTTTTTGAGCTTCCCATTTTCCTCATTTGTGACTCAGCAAAATAACGGGCCATAACTGCTAGGATTTCAACAGATTAAATACCACAGCATATGAAAAGCACTAAAAAGATCTAAATACCATATGCCTCACCCATAGCATGCTTTGCAATTTCAATGTCCTCCAAAGTTCTAAGTGTTGGCATTCTTGGGAAATGGTGGAAACTCAGATGGGGCCGGTGGGAGGGCTTCTGGCACAGGGACATGGCCTTGGAGGGGATAGTGAGTCCCCAATCCTTCCTCCTTTCTCTGTTTCACACCCCAGCCATTAGGAGGGTGGCTTTTTACTCTACTACACACTCTGTGCTATATATATGTCCTTTCCACAGACCCCATGCAAAGGGGTCAAGTGACCATGGAGAGAAACTTGTGGTTTTATTTTGTTTTTTGTTTTGGGTACTGGGAATTGAACTCATGACCTTGCACTTGCCAGGCAAGTGCTTTTGCTGCTGAGCTATGTCCCCAGCCCCGAGAAAGTAGTAAAACTGTGAGCCCACATCCAGCTCTTCTTTTTATAAATTGCTTTGTCTCAAGGAAAGCTAACTGCCTTCCTCACACATACTCAACCTTTATCACTGTTAAACACCAGCACTGTAAGCCCACAAAACACTTTTGAGATTCTTTACTCTGTTGGTAAATGACTGCCTGACTTGTTAGCATCAACTGTGAAAAACACTTCTCACCATTACTTTGGTTCCTACATTCCTAAAGCACCATGGAGACGTACACTGTGGTATGAACACGAAGTAATAACATGTTCTGCTGTGCTTGCCAAGTGAAGTCAAGTTTCACATGCTGCGTATGCAGAGTAAATATGGCTGCCTATAAGAAGAAACTGTTTTGATGTTTAAATATGTGCTTTCTGTTAAATTTTATGGAATGATGCGGTAATGAAAGAATGTAAAGAATATTTGGAGTATGCATGAAAATGCATTTAAAATACTTCAACACGGAATAGAGGTTCTGCAATTTCTTTACTACCTATGTGAATTTATTCTTTTTACTTCAGTTCCCTGTGTATCACTTTATCTGTGAGATGGACATAATAATAATACCTACCTCACAGTTTTGTGATGAGACATATTAAGTAATGAATAAAAAGTACAAGAGCAGTTCCTTGGACAAGGAAGGGTTTGAGAATGGCAGATATAAGTATTACCACTATTGCGTACTACTAAAGTTCCTATAGGTATGCTATAACAGAAGTATGAATTGGTTATCTTAAAGAAACGTCCTTCCTTTTACTTGCTAGCTTTACCAACAAGAACAAAAGAGATACAGACAAATTAACAGTGGGTGCTGAAGCAATCGTTATGGTATCTCATATACCTCCATGGGTCTACCTTGGTGTGTAATGGAAGTAAAGAAAAATAAGCCTTGAATTACTGAAACTGACATTTGTAAATATCTCTCTTCATTCAGACCCCATTGCCCATATTTTGGAGACATTTCTAAAACAATTCTGTGTTCCATGGTTCTCAAGCAATAGCTTGAGTGTCAACTTCATTGTCTTGGAAATCACCCAAGGGGTTGGTAAAGCAAATTTCTTGGCATGTCTGAGTGGGTCATGGAGGCATGATCTGGGGTGTATATCTAGTCTTCACCCCTTTCTCTCTGGTGCTGCTCTCCATTCTGCTTCCTGGCCATAGTAAAGCTTTCCTTTACCACAACCCTCCACTGTGATACCTTCAAGCCTACCAACCATGGACTTAATCCCTTAAAACCATGAACCAACTTAAAACTCTCCTTGGAGTTGTCGGTGTCAAATATTCTGTATCAGAGACAGGAAAGTTGACTAATACTATATTCCTCTCTCCCACCTCCCACAGCTAGTTAATAATCGTACAGTTTAAGCCTTTACTAAAAATGTATCTGCATTCCATCTACTTATCTGGTTTGCATTTCCCCAGGATCCTAACCAGTACTTCATTTCCATTCTTGTGTTACCTTCATCTAATTTCCATAGATAAACTGGTAACACCTTTTTAGAACACAAACTGAATTGTCAATTCCATGGTTTTTTTGTAACTACCTAGTATACTTAATAGAAAATTAAAATATTTTATGTTACAATAAAACACCACAAACCCATTCCAATTAAGGGTTTTCTATATGCTGGTTGCCTTGACCTAATAAATTGTAGAGCACCCTTTCACCTCTGAAACTGTCCTGTTTCAATGATAAATTCAGTGGTCTTATACAATCTTTCCTTTGCCTAAATATTCTTTTCATAGTCAGTATCCCCTCCTTAGAATCCAGTGAAATTGTCCCTTGTTTACATATTAATTATTTTTCTTCAAAATCTGAACCATAGTATTTAGTCCAATAATTTGTGCCCTCTTTTGTTGAAATTCTGCTCACCCCATTAGTGTGTACAGAGAAAATTAGGTCCATGCCTATGTTGTTTACCTCACATACTTTAATCAGCATAGTATTTGGCACATGATAAGTAATCACAAATATTTGTTGGAGGATTAATGAGTAGATAGGTTTGCTATACAGCCAGGGAGACACATATACATATAGTGGAACATGCAAATTACAGAAATGTATTCAAGCTGCCGACAACCAAAATGAAGACAAAAAAGAGACCAGTTATATCTACCTGAAGAGGAGGGCTGTCTTGAGAATTCTCCATGCAAAGGGAGGAAGCCCAATCAATGCTACTAAATAGATAAGATCATGTGAGAATTAGAAAGCTGTGAGAAGCACAGCTTCTATACAGAGAAGGTGGCATTTGAAAAGGAAAGAATGTGTAAAACTGTTTGGTGATTCAGGGTCAAAATAATTTCTGTTCCTAGAGTACATAGCAGTGTATAAATGCCATATTATTCCATAAATCCCTAAGGACAAAATTTAAATTGCGAACAATACAAGACATATAAAGTTAAGAAATCTGAAGCTTAGCTTTCTTTAGATGTATAATCTTAGGATGATTTGAGGATTTTTCTGGCCTCTGAGTTCAGAAAAAATTATAAATTATAGAAGTTCTCTCATAAATATGTCTTAAAAGTTACATTTCAAACTTCATTGCCATAAAGAACCCACAAAGTTGTGAATTTATCACACAACAGGCACAAAATTATAACAGAGTTCCTAAGGAAGCTACATTGAGCTTCCAAGACATAAAGCTAAACTCCACTTCTCTGTCAAGTAATTTGGGAGGTTTGTGTTTTAAGAGTTATGTTAAATTTTGTCTTTTGATAATGTACATTCATTTATTATTAGATTATGAAAAAAAGGCAAAACCAATAACAATATTTTGGCATTTATTTTATACACTGTAAAGATTAAAATATGTAGAAAATTTATAGAATATCAGGTCATATTGTAACTTAGCTAGGTTCACATAGTGAATTAAAACTTCATCACATCTCTGTTTTTGTAGAGGGAGAAATTTCCAGAAAGACATCTAGGCTGGGCATGGTGCTATGTGCCTGTGATACCAGCGCTTTGGGGGCTGAAGCAGGATAATCGCTGTGAGTTGGACACCAGCCTGGGCTACATAGTAAGTTTAAGGCTGGTCACAACCACATATTGAAACTCTGCTCAAAAAAAAAAAAAAAAAGATAGATACATCGGTGGCAGCAAGCCTATGGCACACATGCCACAGCGGGGTGTTTGTTCTTGAAAGCTCTAAAAGGTTAGCCACGAGTGGTACAGATAATCAAGAAAAGGTTTCTTCGAATATAATCTATACCAGAAGTTACACACTGGTAGACTACACAACATGAAGTTTTGTTTAGACCCCAGAGTGCTTCGAAACTTTGAGCTAAGATTTATATTGGTGAATTCAACCTCACATTTTAGCCTCTGTTGAATGATGGAAATAACAGATTTCTCTGGTTATATTTTCCTAATCAGTCTCTAGAGAGGAGTGGACCTCTCTAGGGTACCCCAGTGCCCTCTCCTACCTCAGCAAGACTACTTTCCTTGAGTCTAAGACCTACTGTCAGACCAAACCAATTCAAAACAACAGACAATTAAAAACCAAAACATTAGGAAGTTATTTTGATTTTGAGAATTTACAATGCTGAGGATTCTATAGGGTGTTTTAATAAAATTATCTAAAAACAGAACACTTCAGACATTCAACATCTTCTTGATTTTGTGTATTAATTTAACTGCACTGAATCAAACAAAAAATCAAACAAATCCAGTATGGTGGTTATTCCTTTTGATTAGTAAGCTATTTGTTTTGGTATCTAGTAGGTATAATGTGGATGGTACAGGATAATAGCCTACAGATATGTAAATACATCATGTGTTTGATCTGTGATTTGATATAAGTACCTCCTTATAATGTGTCTTTCAGTATAGCAAATATAACTTATTTTGCTTAATGGGTTGAAAGGTCTGACATGCTTTTAATACCCGAACTATTCCAGATTATGTGATATAAACCCAGAAATTTCACTCCCTTAGGAAGTGATGGCACTTACCTTAGCTATCTGTACACACCAATTCAGCAGCAGCTGCGATCCAATGTTGTCCTTGTGTTCATGTACATAATCCAGCAGGCAGCCATGGGGCATAAGCTGCGTAACCAGCTGGATGGTTGGGCTCAGGCACACACCCAGTAAGCGAACCAGATGTGGATGATCCATACTTGCCATGATCAGAGCTTCCTGGAAGAAAAACGGTAATGCCATTATTGTAGCCTAAAGTTTGTCATAGTTATAATCACTTGCTATGTGCAGATAGTGTGGATAGTAATTCTGATAATCGACTCGATGGAATTATTTGAGGAGACATTATTGTAACTATCCTTAAAATGGTTTATTTCTATGAAATTAAATGAAAAGCAAAGTCTCTATGCTTATTAAATGGAAGGAGTTATAGAATGTCAATAGAATAACACCAATATTTTCTTTTCTTTAGTATGAACAATATTATATTTTATTTGCCAAGTATATTGAAGTGAATCTCAACTTGTACTATGGATTTTAACTTTTGATCTTGGTTCTAGAGTACAATGATCTATACAACTCCAGTTATTTGTAACTAGAATAAGGTGACCAAAATTCAAGTCATCTATTATTGATGTAGAGTTGAAAAGCATATGAAGGTTAAATGTATAAGCTGTAAAAATATAAACAATCACATGCTGTATGCCAACTGTCATTTATATAGAAGAGTATATATTTTCATAAGGCATTTTCTTCATAAGTTGACTCAAATTTACTTTATTTTCAAAATTCCAAGTGATATTTTATTCAAAGATTAATAAAATTTGAGAGCTAGGTTCGACCACAAAATTTTATCTACTCCAGGTTCCTGATTTCATAAAGTAAGAGAACTGAGTCCTAATTTCTTTATTTTAATAATAATAATAAAATACAGAACTGTAATGGTTACTCAGTGCAACCCAAAGTTATTATGTGCCCTTATTAAAATCTGAAGTAAATATAATCATAAAGAATATTTCAATGCACTTTGTTATGGTTTGATATGTGCTTTAATATTATAAAAATAAATAAACAGAAGTTAGTCTTATGAAAGCAATAGCAAAATTTGTATAAAAGAACATAGCATCACCTATGCAATATTCTTATCAATAACATTTAAAATAAATCTACTCATAAGAAATCAATCAAAAAAGTCCACATTTTAGGATATTCTGAAATGAATCTGGCTTGTATGTAGTAAAAATATAAATATTGTGAAAGTGTTAAAAGAAGGGGGGTGTACAAATTAAAATTCATTATAGAGTTAAGGCAATTTTGGATCTTTGCCTCCCAGACTGGAAAAAATTCCCACACGATATAGGGAACTGGCTGATTTTAGAAAAACTGATTCATAGTATACTTAGGAAACTTCTATGTTACAGTGATCCTTTGCTATCTCCAGAAACCCCATAGTGAAAATATTGTGGACTGAGGCAATCAGGAACAAGGGACGGAGAGGTATTTTAGGGACAATTGATGTTATGTAAATTTATATCCGATAGAAATACAGACTACTTTCTCACTCCTTTTCCCAAATAGGTCTGTGCCATCAAATTTTTGACAGCTTGTATAAAATTTAAAATTTTGCACATCAAAATTTCAACTGAGTGGACATGACAGACACGTTTGGACACACAAAAATTTTAAAAACAAAAATGAAAGAAACTTCCCTGCTTTCTTTCTCTGCTGGCTATGTCCACAGAAAAACAGGGGGGAAGGATTGAAAAGGATGTAATGGAGGAAACAAGGATCTTAACTGAGCTATAGTAATCCAAAGTGGTGGTAAAGGAAACTTCCAGACTAAGAGCTGTGCAACAGACAAGAGAGCAACCTGCCCAGACTGGAGCTGGACATGAGGCTCTGGAGCAGGTAACCCAAGAAGACAGAATTGATTCAACACCTAAGGAGTTGAAATTAAAAGACTATTTATTTTCTACCAACAGTTGAAGGTCAAATGGGTGACAGATATTTAGGAAACTGAGCTGAAGTAGAAAGAAAAAGTTAGTTTGAGGTAAAACAAAGATTTGTACCAGAAAGGAAAACATTCATTACAGAGCGCAGTGGAAAACAGTTACATAATCATAACAGCGCAAACACCCAATATTGATATAAGCTGAAATGACAGGACTGGACTACACTGGAAGATAAGGGGGAGCGAGACTGTTCTGCATCCGGTAATGGGAAGGAGTTGGAAACACACTTCCCAGAGAACTAGTGTATGAGGTGGTTGACAGTATAAGCATATTATTTAGACATATAGAGTGAAGTCACAGAAACAATTTGTAAAATGCTGAAAGTACTTTGTGCAGGGAAAGTGGAAAATTGGGGGTACAGAGAAAGGAAAGAAGAACATCCAGAGCTGTTTTTTGCCATTCGCCATAGAAAGTATTTGACTTTTATTATCATTACCGTAAATCTATTTGAGCGGGCGGTATCTATTGTTAAACTCTGCTACTATTTTGGTGGTGCCTAAAGGTTATTAGACACAGCAATGGGGTGTCTGTGATGGAGAATACAGATTTCCAGGATCCAGCAACAGTTTCATGTGGGAGCTCACTTTACTTTTGGAGCAACGAAGAAGAGGGCTGTGTTGGCATAGAAAGGAATGACACAAGATCATTTTTTTAAAAAGCCCGTAAACCCGTGTCACTGTGTCTCAAAGGACTTTTTGTTCCTAAGCTTTTGTGGCAGAAGGTGAAGCCATTGATTTGCAGATGGCTTCCAAGTCAAATGGGTCCTTCAGAGTCCTCTCCCCAGCTGCCTCAGGGAACAGGCCAGTCACAGAGGCACTCAGGGGGCCCTAGCTGCCTTCACAGGGTGAAAACATTTTGGGGTCACTCGCTGTATATTTCAGGAAACATTTGAAAGAAAGCAAAGCTGTGTCGTTATAAGGGGAGTATAGATATGAACGTTGGCAATATTAGCCAAATTGCCTTACCTCTTAGTTAAGAGAGGATGAAATATTTGTTTGTGTGCAGTTTCCTTCACTAAATCATAAAGCATATATAAAATATCCACATCCACACCAGCAAATGAGCAAAGTATCAAGTTAGATATCATTATTATGATTGTCAGATATTTGATTAGACATTAAACGTTAGATATATAGTTAAATTAAGTTATACAGATAGTGTTCCATGTCTCTCTTAGCAGCTCTTGGGTTTTCTTGAGCGTAGGATCATTGAGGTTCACCTTACAAATGTAGTTTACCTGGTCGCATGCACAGGCCATCAGATCTGGAAGTGGAACCTAGGAATCTGCATGTGTAGCAAATCCCCGAGGGGAAGCCGCTGTACGAAGGATGAAACTCTAAGAACGCTGGCAAGTCTTGACCAAATATGTGTCTCTACATGCCGCTGCTAAACATGCAACAGCTTTGTGGTCTGCCTCAAACAGTTCTTTGACCTCCAGGAAGCAGTAGAAAGAGGCAGGCATTCTCAGCTGTGAGATGAAGACACTACAGGAGCAGTTTTAAGACTCAGAATTCTGACTTTGAGTACAGAGCTACTGCTTATGATATTGTAGTTTCGCTGCAGCTCCATCAGCCCTTCACACTGTAGATGTTTATCTTGTTAATAAGATAGCTTTAAACACATCACATTAGCCATACCTGAATAAACTGGGTCAAATTATACTTCTGCGTCTGAGGAGCAAGTGAAATCAGACAACAAATTTACGCTTACAGATACACTGTCATCCCTTACATTACACTTTCAGAAAAAAGTCAGCTCTCTGTGACTTACTGAGATCAGTGGTTTGTACAGGCCATTTACTCAGGCAAACAGAATAATGACATTGAGGGTAGAAGCAAGATTTTGAGGATATTTCAGGCTTCTTTCTGAGACACCTCATAAAAAATGACTATTTTTACCTTTTACAATACAAGGAATAATAATAATTGCATTCTAAATATGCATTTGAAAAGTTTACATTAGAGGACTTTTCATGCGAAAAGTGAAAGTTCTGTTTAAACAAAAAATCTATTAGTAAGTCCTGGCAAAAAAGCTGGGTTTGTGTGAAGGAAAATTGCTCATCACACTACAAAGAGTATTTGAAACTAAATTGCAGAGTATTTGCATAATGGTTCCCTTTTTCAGAGAAAGAAAAGATGTACAAGACACTAATTGTAGGTTTTATTTTTTCATAAAGGAAATAGCAGATGGCTTTTTGGAGGATAAGGGAATAGATAAAGAAAAGGAATGTGGATTCATTCAGAATGATGAGTAGGATGGAAAAGGAAAAGATCCCAATATTTTAATCATGGAGTGTCGGGTTTCAATAAATTACTCTGTTAAAATTAATAGTGATTTCTGTTGCTTGTCTCTGTGTGGGTCCTACAGAAATAATTTTGATCTTCATTGCTGTCACTTGAAAATGTCATAAAAGGCCAGTGGAATAAGTACAACTTGAGGGGTACATTTTCTATTTTTACAGAAATAAAATTATCCCTCTCTTTGTTTTTCTTTTGTTTTATAATTTTTTTTGCAGGTGAATTGAAGAATTCTCTCATTGGAGAGACAAGAAGAATGTAACAGGTGCTACACTGAAAACTCTAAAACTACAACATTTTTCTTTCTAATGAGGTCTGATTTGAATAAGGACATTTTTTTAAACTACCAAGGGACTACCGGGGTGTAGACAAAAAGCTCTGAAGCATGGATACCATTAGTCTCCAGCCATAGGCTACTTGTATTTCTATTTCCAACCGAGGCAAGATATTTCTGTACAATAATAAAAGTGAGCGATATCATTTTTCACATTAAGATATCATTTTTCCCAGCTATCAGATATTTGTCCTTTACCACTTAAACTTGCTTTCTCACTCATGTTGGTTAGTAGTTTCACAAAAAGAAAAGGAAATAAAATATGGCTAGTGAAAATGTATGGGCTATTTTGTTTTAAAATGTGTTAATTTCAGCCCAGTTTTCACTGCTTCATGATATCTACAGACTATTAATTTAGTACCCTCTAATTGAAAATGGAGAAAGGCTCACTGCATCAGGCATAAGGAAGATAAAAAGGGGGATGGAGAGAAAGGAGAGAGAGACCTCCAGTGTAGACATACACTGTGCTTACTGCAATAGTGGTCAACCAGTGAATGCTGGAAACAGAGGCTGCCTCTAGACTCTGTGAGGGTGACGGTGATGAGGACACGAAGAGGGTAATGATCAGCCCAATGA